GCTGACTCTGTAAACCGCTTAGAGAGGGCTGAAAGCCCTATGAAGCGGTATATAAGTCTAACTGCTATTGCTATTGCTATTTATTGGAGGAGAATTTAAGGACAATGATTGATGGATTTCCTGGCTAGGTTTCCTCCCGCTCACCCGGCTGGTAGGAAAAAAACACTACCAGTCTTCTTAATGGGAACTGAGCCTGGGTGACTGTGAACAATGGCTTGGGACAGAGGTTTTAATCACCTTTCATAATGTCCGACTCCCTGATGCACGCCACAGATGTGCCCACCTCAGTAACCCATCACTCAAGTAGTTTCTTAATATGGCCTGCTGGTCTTAACATATGCCCAAAGGTAGCCTCGTGGCATGAAAGAAGGATGTGAAGTGGAAGAAGGGAGGGAAATTAGAAGACACCTTAAGACAGTTCTCTACATCTTCCTCCTTCTCCCAAGCCTGTTAATCAGCTTGATTTTTTAAAATATATTTTTATCAGTCTTCTAAAAAGCCAGTAGATCTAAGTTTTGACATAGATTGGGTGAGAAGTATCTTTAAAAAATCACACAATGTCACTGGAGTAGGTAACTAGTACCTCCTACCCAAAGTAATAAAAGCAATAATAAGAAGTATGGCCACACACAAAAGTTTTTGTCAGCAGAAGCACTGAGAAACTGAATGTACTCATGAGGTTCAGAATAAGACATACAGCTGGTAGCCAAGCTCACTTCTCTGATTAAAATCAACCTTGCATGCAGAACACATTAGCTCTGTTTTTTCAAAACAGGTTTGCTAGTCTTTCAAAAGAGCAGTAAAATATATATTTTGTTTTTTTAAAGAAAAATCTGTCACTCTTCCAGAAGAACACTAGCGTTACGTTGATGTGTCATGAAGCACCGGTCAAACATGAAGCATGCTAAATATGGCGGCAAGAGAGAGCTAGATGGTTCTCAGCCTCTGATCATGTCACCTCAAACATGGAAAATGTGTTAATGCAGAATATTTGCATGGTAACATTTGTGTCAAGAGAGAAAGAAAAACACAACTTTAAAATCAGAACAGCTAAATATGAATGCTAGCTATCTCCACAGGTGACCAAGAGAAGCATCTTTGTGCTAAATTTCGGAACTTAAGGATGGGTCCTCTCTTGTATGTCCCAAAGCAGACTTTTTAGAAATATTTCTAGACTTGTCAAAGTTAGTTTTTCCTAAGCTGATGCTCTACAAATATTTGTAGATAGCATGTGGTGATAGCTGACTGGGAAATGATCGAAGTTGTCCGATAAAACAGTTTGAAAAGGGCTGTTATAGGGCTTGTAAATGTAGATCACGAATTCACTGATATTATGAGGAGAGAGGAAGAATGATTTAGAGCTGTACAGGGTGGAAACAAAGAGTCAACTGTTATTGCAAATACAGAAGTGCTGATACAGTGTTCTCACAAATTTAGAACACCTATATATAGAAAGGAACGTTTAAAAGGTTATTAACTCCTTTCCTATTCCAGTGAAGATAGCATTTTCTAGAAGCAGGGAAATTCTTTTCATTTATACTTTGGGTCTATTCATGCTTGCAAAGGACAAAATAAAACCTGAAGTATATTATTTTAAAAATCATTAATCCTTTGCTTTGTTGATTTTGCAAAAGGACTCTAATGTTATCAGAATGGAATAGACATCACTTTCGCAGGCTAACCCCTATGCTTCTCTAATGCTTTCATAAACTCTTCCTCTAGATAGTATCTACCCATTTTATAGAATGTGACTAGGAAAAGATGCTATAGGTGCCCACTCCTAGAGAGATCCACCAGGTGGAGACCTAAGAAGGGCATTTTCAGTGGTAGCTCCTGATTTTTGCTTACCCCTTGAGCTCCAACTAGGTCTCACGCTATCATCATTTAGGAAACAAACTGAAGCCATCCTCTTCTGTGGGCATTTGGGAACTGATGTGTAATGGAAGATAGCAGCAAATATTTTAACATTTTAACATTTAAATGTCAGCCCTTTGAGATAGACCAGATAGGAAGCCAATGTCATGAGTACTAACATTACCTTTATTACAAAAAGTAAGTATGAAAGCACATTTCTCTCCCCTCATCTTTACAGTCAAAGAAACTAGAGGAAATTTCTTCAGAGTCACTTGTCCTTTCCACATTTCTTCTGTGGGCTTATCTGACTTTTCCCTGGCTTCGGTTCTTCCTTCTCCCATCTTTCAAGGACATTCCCACAGACCATTACATCAATCAATATTAAATTTATGGATGTTTTTAATGTGACTGGTTGTAAGCCACAAATAATCATTCAAATACACAGCGTATTATGATTGATCAATCTCTCTTGTTGCCCATTTAGAGTGAGTCTCTTCTGCTTCACGTTCTCTATAATACTATTAAATTAGAAAGGGCAAAATGGATAGGATCTGTATAGTAAAGTTAGATTCTGAGTCTACTTAAGTGTATCGAATCCTGTTCTAGGTGAAAGTGGATAAGAGCCAATGCGAACTTAATGTGAAGTGAATTTGTTTGTGTTCATTGGGGCTCCCTTTCACCTAACAGGTGAACATTAGGACTCCAGCATTACCCAATGGCGTTTCTTTTTCCAAATTTAAGGATGATTGCATTTAACAAAGAAGAATGAAGGATTTTAAGATGGAAACTTCACAATGAACAAGGATCAAGGGTAGAGGGCTGCTATTTAGGGCTGGAGATGAAGAATCCAATGAGGAATCAGGGAAGAAATAAAAGGATTGTGGTCATCATATCCGGGGAATTACACTGAGATTACACGGAAAAGAGAGCCAAGTGGGTGGAATAAACACACACACCACAGAGTTACAGGCAGCACAAAGGGAAATAAGAACAGAATTATATATTTACCCACATCCAAACCAAGGTTACTCTTCCTCCCTCTGCCAGGAAAAAAAATCAGTGGTTTGGAATGATGAATCATATTCACTTCAGACTTTAATCCTGCTTTCAATTGATTACAAAAGGGAAAAGCAGTCCAGCAGGGAGACACAGACTATTACATCGCATTTCCTGCCACGTGATTTTACACAAGAACCTTTCTTCCATCCTATTTTCTTACAAAATCCAGAGTATTCATCATCATAAGGCAGGTCAATACTACAATATGAGTGAACCGAGACACCATCAAAACTAAGGATATGCTTTCTGGAAGTGCATTCACACACTGGCAATCCTCGGGTTATGATGACAATTGAGACCAGGATTGCCATCACTAAGGAATGCAGTCTTAAAGCCTAAAATGTGCTCACCCAAAATATGCAGGTCATTAATTGGGAAGAGACAGAAGTCCCAGGTAAGCAGCAAGAGCATTTGGCAAAGGGGCTGGAGGAAACTGAGGGATGGCCTGGGAGAGCTGGCAAGAAGCTGGGCATTTACTGGGCAGGACTGGAGGAGATTGGTGCAGGAGGGAGAAAAGGTGAGAGTAACTTACCTGAGTAACCTCTCACTTTCCCTGCTGGCTTTCTCGCTTACTTTGTGAAAAGCCAGCAAGGGAAGGTTGCAAATGGTGATATGACTGCAGCTCCCTAACTGCAAATGAGACACCTGAACGCCCAAGATTGCAATCACATAACGGTGGGGATGCTGCAATATCAGGAGCTTCAAAGATTGGCTGTACATCCATTTTTTTCAATGGCATCATAACTTTGAACAGTTGCTCAATGAACCGAAATAAGCCAAGCATTACCTGGACAGTATTTTAGTCCAGGTACATAATGGTGTATCCAAGACAGAATATTGAGGAGGAGGAGGAGGAGGAGGAGGAGGAGGAGGAGGAGGAAAAATCTACAATCATTTGCAGCATTTCAAAGGATTTATTAACCATTCTAATCCAATTCTCTGATGTTGAGAAATCTATCTCCTATCCATATCTTTTGATTATCTATTGAGAAGAGAGTTCCACTGCCTTCATGGGTATTTCAAGTAGGCACCATATGGCAGAAATCACCAACTCTGGAAGCTTGTAGGAACCTTTCAGTATTTAAACAGGTACCCAAAGCAATCACAATTCCATCTGCCAGTCAGTGCCGACTGGCGACTACTCGAAGGAGAGCCTTCTCTGTTGCGGCTCCGACGCTATGGAACAATCTCCCCGTGGAGATTCGTACCCTCACCACCGTCCAGGCCTTCCGCACAGCCCTCAAGAACTGGCTAGCCCGTCAGGCCTGGGGATAATTTTATTTTTGCCCCTCCCGAATGCTGAGTGAATGTTGAGTTTTACTGTCTAATTTACTTTTGTGCACATTTCTTTTTGTATTGTCCTACACTCCCCCTCCTTTTGATTGTAAGCCTCCCTGAGTCCCCTCAGGGAAAAGGGCGGCCTATAAATGTCTAATAAAATCAAAAATCAAAATCAAATCAAATCACAACATGAGTTCAGCAACATAAGAATAAATGAGATATTGGTTTTGGCAAGGGAGGTCCCACCCCTCATTCCAATGACTAGAGAAAAATATCGCCATGATCTAAATGGAGGGAATCCTCCCTTTACAAAAAGATCCTTGAGGGAGGAATTCTGCGACCACTTTTCACCACTGTTATTGGTTTTTATTTTTCAAAGCAAATAAAAAAATCCTCCATTCAGTATAAGAGTCATAGGAAAGCACGATAGTTACAAACACCATGTTGGTGTCAGCCTTTTGAGATAAGCCAGGTGTGGGAAAAATCAGTTTTTAGTTGAATGGAATGGGCTAAATCAAACTGATAAGAGTTACAAGGATTTGGGCTTTGAACCATAGCCTGTTATCTTATTCAAACAATTCACATTGATTTATCCTTAAAGTACTAATGGGAGATGTTTTCCTTTTGGTATTGCATTCCCAAAATTGCCTCATCTTGATTTATGGGAGATGCTTTCCTCTCTTTTTATTGCTTTATGCCTACTCTTTGTTTTATTAAACAGGCACAGGAAGTAACTTGCAATCCAGTAGTTATGAATATGCATCATGATTTTATCTGTTGCTTATGCATTACATTTTCTCTCCTTTCTGAGAGGTATAAATAAAAGTGGGCCCCCTTTAGCATCCTTCTCAATATTCTTTAGAGGGAGTGCCACTAAAACATGCTGCTTAATAAACCCTGCAGTGATTCTTGTATTTGCTTTGGATTTTGTGTTGAAATCCACACAGGTCAGGAGTTAGCTGCCATAAAATTACCGAAACTTTACTTGGTTGTTACAGGATATTATAATAGAATCCTGACACCCTGACAGTTTCCCTCTCTTTTTCCTCTTATACTAAAGACAGTCAAGGTGGGAAAATCTGGCATTTTTTCCTCAACCCCTCCTGTTTTTCCAGGCTATGATGTCTTCATAATGGCTGTCACATACCTCTTCAAAGCCATCTTAATATTCCTCTACTTCATATTCCTCTTGCTATATTAGGATAGCTAAGGCAGGGGTTCCCAACCATTTCCTTCATGTTTAGCAATATATCATAACTGATTTTTTATCATGTAAATCAAGCATCAGAAAGACACCACTAAAGTGCATGAGCAAAGGTCCCACTCCTTAAATAAAATTAAAATTACTTCATTACTTAAAATTTATGTTTTAAAATAGCTAAATTTCTTTGATTTTCCCACTGAATATCATACAAGAATTTTGGTGAAAATCTCATTTTCCCCCCCAAGGCTTTGAGTGAGATTTCAGAATCTCACAAGATATTGGCTACTGTAATAAACATTTTTATTTTGACATGTACAGCATAGGTTACCCGCAGTAACTTGGAAGGCAATGGCAGAAGTGAGGCTGACTCTGCAAAGTGAGTTTTTAAGCATGTCTACATGTACTACAAATTATATTAGGTTTTTTGAAAAAAACAGAATAGAACAGAAAAACCAGGACTAAATCGATGGTTCAGAGAAACAACGAGGGCTGGAGGCAGTGATTAAAGCTAGATGTCAAGGTTCCGACAGATGCCCTAATTAATTCATGAGTCTCGAGGCAAGTTTCAAAAGGAATCCAATGATTTATTAGGAGCAACATGTCAGGCATCTACTCCAGTGAGGTCTCCTCTAGTGCATGTAAGTTACAGCCCAGCTTTGACCTGCCTCCCCCCTTTCAGTCTGTATCATAAATCACATTCTCCAACGAGGTACGCCTCACAACCCGGCTTTGGTAACCTGAGATTCAAAATTTGAAGAAGGTATGCGTGGAAAGTGTTCCCCCTTGCTTCTAATGGCAACTCGAGAGCAGACTAGAAATGCTTTTGCGAGCTGACACTACAAAAATATTTGGTTCCTGACCTATCATTTGGTAAGGATTTCCTGTCATACAACAGGTTTGGATAAACCTACACCAATGGGGACAACTTGATATTCTGATTTTGGACTACAGTTCCATTGGTTATGCTGGTTGAGGCAGACGGGACAGGAACTCTGAAACTTATAGAAGGCATCAGGTGCCTGGCCCTACCTTGCTTGCAGGAAGCAGGAAGATTACTTGGCTCTCCCTCACTGAATGAGACATTTTATTCACACAACCAATGCATTTTTTAAAATTTAAATACATCCTGAGCAATTACCCAGTACAATTGATCAGAAACAAAACAAAAGCTCCAAATCCATGATTACCTACTGAAATGAGGTTCTACGTTAGAGAAGGTATGTATTTGCACCTTAGAAGAATTTATGAAAATCACCAGCAAATCATGTTCACTTCCATCCTAACTGTATTGATTAAGAGAGCTCTGTTAAAGTGAGTGCTGATGAAACAGACAAATGTCAGTGCTTGTTCCCAGCACTTGCTCACTACCTGCCTGGAGGAAATTCTGAAGCAAGATAGAAAGGTAAAATCCTTTTCATTTCATTTAACTTTTCAGAATGTGGGATTCTAAAGCCCATTGTTTCTGAATATGGCCATCCTGGAACCAGGTGGTTCCTTGTTGAGCTACCAATCCTTCATTAATTTGTCTACTAATAGTTGTTTAAAAGCAGCCGGCTGTACTCCAAGAAGATTCTTGATGAAATATTATTTCATCAAGCAATTCATTTTATTTCTAATCTCTGGGACAGATATTGTTGAGATTTTCAAATACTCGCTATTCTTAAAAAAAACTTTAAAGATTATATAATGAATTATTTATTACTATAGAGTAGAAATTATTTATTACTATAGAGTAGAAATGAAAGGCAAATAAAGTATTTTAGGATTAAGCACATGCAAAACAGAGATTAAGAGACTGTAACCTTGAAAAAAAAATCTTGAAAGTTAAAAGACCTAAAAATTAAAATAATACATCTCAGCTATTACACTTAAGGCTCAAAACCCCATCCTTTCCCCCTAGATACCTTTCATCCCATGGGCAGCAAAATTCCGTCATTCGATTATCACAAATCAGTCCAGTTCCTAAGGGAGCAGCACATTCTGAAGTAAGATCCTATTTAAGAAAGAACAACACAAAAAAGTGGTGCATGCAGGAAAAACATTCTAATCCTAACTGCCCCAATAAGGCCATACCTTGATACTCTCTCTCTCTTTCTTGCTCACAGGAGCAAAATTAGATACGATATAATATCCTCTATTAGCTCCTCCTAACCTTAAACTCTCCAAATATGTTGGACTAAATGCTACGGGGTAAATGGGTACAATAGTTTAACAGTTTACACTTTCTGGTAGAGAGAAGTTCCCTGAGGATGGGCTCCAGTCTGAGTCCAAAAACTCGGAAGAGTAAACTCTGGTCCCAGTGACCGAGCTAGACTGGATCTTGCAATATTATCCTGGGACACGTATATTTGCCTTCATTCGCAATAGTTTAAATTCAATACGTTCAGGAAAAAGAGAACGTGCCAAATGACAATATAGGAGTAGAAGATGGTAAATTATTATGATGGATGGTATTATTATGGATGGTTGCACAGTCAGCATATTTAAGTTTAGACTGGATTTGGCATTTTTTATCCACCTACTGTACGGGTGTCAAACTAGATCGTGTCACGTAACACATTGTGATTTTTTTTTGCCTTTGTAGAGCCAAGGTGGGCGTGGCCTGCGTGTGATGCATCTGGCCTGTGGGCAACCAGTTTGACAAGACTGACCTACTGAGTCTGTCCCAAAGACATGAGATAGGCAGATGTTATTGTTTCATGGTGTTAAAGGTATGATTGCAGTGATGGTAGAAATGAAGTTATCACGTGTGGCATTTTTAAATAGTTGAGGATCTTTTGTAACTGAGTTGCTGAGAGAGAGGAAAGTACCCCTTAAGTTTTGTTAAGATGAATGGCTAAGTCTTAAAAGAAGCTAGGACTAGGCTAGAGCTGAGGTGGCACAGTGGTTAAATGCAGCACTGCAGGCTACTTCAGCTGACTGCAGTTCTGCAGTTCGGCGGTTCAAATCTCACCGGCTCAGGGTTGACTCAGCCTTCCATCCTTCCGAGGTGGGTAAAATGAGGACCCAGATTGTTGTTGGGGGCAATATGCTGACTCTGTAAACCGCTTAGAGAGGGCTGAAAGCCCTATGAAGCGGTATATAAGTCTAACTGCTATTGCTATTCCTGCATCTTCCAGTTCTCTCCTAAGAGCGAATGAAGAACTCATAGCTGCTTTTTCAATCCACAAGAACTTGGGAATTGAAGGGATCTACCTACCAGTTTCTGCAGGACCAAAGGCAAATCCTCGGCATCTTTGTTCATCTTTTTTGCACGTCCTTTCCGCTTGGCCTCTGGAAGCCCTCCCTTCTTGTTAGCCTTTTTCTAGGGAAACCAAGAGAACATTACTTTGATACACTGACCTGCCACAGAAGTAGCAAAGCTCTCCTCTCTTCCATGGGACAGAAAGGGAAGCTAACCATACTCCCAGTGAACTATTGATTCCCACAGTCTCCATCACAACAACTGGTTTACTTTACCAATGGAGCCTGAATGTCCAAAGTAGGCACAGATATGGGATCCAAAACTGAGGCATTTCCCAAATCAGAAGCCATTGAGCTACTGCCTCCTTCGATCCTATGGAAGAAAACCAAACACATGTTACAGAAAGTTCCACAACAGACACTAGAGCATGGCTGTAAAAATCGTGGCCCGCGGGCTGGATGAATCATACACTGGCCACGCCCACATCCTGTTTAGTGAAAGGGGTGGGGGGGAAGTCCCGATACATCACGTGATGCCACCATGATGACAGAAGTTTGACACTCCTGTGCTAAAGCATTCAATTCTAAAATCACCCTATGTCTAAATATCTTGTTCTGTGAAATAATCACCAAGAAAGTAGTTAGGAAAGCTGTCACTGAGTAATTTCTCTTGACCTATGAAGCCCTTGTCAGTTGGTATCTAGTTATATTCAGGGTTACCTACTCTAGTTGGAAATGAATAACAAATAATGTCATCAAGGAAGTAGTTTCTTGCTTCCAGTAATAAAGAGCTGCTGGGGCTAAACCTGCTGCTTTTCAGTAGCAATGCTGGTTCTCAGGAACAGCCTTGCAGTGGGAATTAGACTAGTCCTCTCCTTAATTTCATTTTTTAAAAATGAAAACAAACACAAAACTCACTCTTTTGCAAAGTATTCACAACTTAGACCTAACTGTTTATATGTGGCTTAACGCCAGTGTGTACTTTGCCTATCATATCTATTTTGATGTTTTTTTTTTAATTTTAGATATTTATAGTTTAGATTCACTGGTGATATTTCAGTTACCTGCATGTGTCATACAAACTTTCAACACTTTTGTTTGATTTAGTGGGATATAAATATATTATTAATAATGAGGGATTTACTCTTTGTGTTAAGCCATAACACAATTCATTCATTCTAAGCATAGCATGTGATATGAATCCAGCCACTGTGGTTTATAAACCATTGTCTATGGCTTATTATCTGTGCAAAACAGTTATGGTTTATTTAATACACTGTAATTAACAAAATTATGATTGGTGAATCCAGCAATACCCGAACTCCTAAGTGTAGGCTTAACAGTTAAAATGCAAACTGTGCCCCTATTTCTACCCAAACATCTGGCTGGAATCAGAACCAAACAATGGTCTTTCTCCCATTGGCATCAACCTCATTCTCTCATTTTCCTCACTAATAATGTTGTTATTTTGCCTTGGAGTCATCAGCTTCATTTTGACAGAACCTTTCTCCAGCCATCAGTACAGGGCAGGGGTCCCCAAACTTGGGAACTTTAAGACTTGTGGACTTCAACTCCCAGAATTCTTCAGCCAGCTGGCTGGAGAATTCTGGGAGTTGAAGTCCACAAGTCTTAAAGTTCTCAAGTTTGAAGACCTCTGGTATAGGGAGACTGCAGTTCCTCAGGCTTGCCTACCTGACTGTCAAACTGGTTGACCCGAGTGGGATTTACTTCGGGGTAAACCTGCGAGCACCGTCAGAAGCAGATCTGAGGTGGGGGATGGAAACCCAGCCTCTTTACAGGCACACCCCCTGTGCTGCTCACAACCCCTTCTCCGACCCTTCTGATCCCCCCAGATGTTGTTTGCAGGGGTGGCAAAGAACCAACGCAACCCCTGTAGAAACACGTGCGGTGGACGCCGCCTTTGGAGAAACCCCCCCTCATCTGTCCGCCTGTTACCAAGGTGACAAGGACCATCCCCACCCACCCTCCAAACCTGCAACTGAAAGGACCACTTCCCCACCCTTGGAAGGATCCAGTCCAGGTGAAGGGACGGCGGCTCGGGAGGGAGGACGCGGTAACCCGCCGCCCCTTCGACTGCGGGCTGGGGCGACCTACTCAAGCTGGAGCCGAAGGCAATCAGGACCTTGCGGGAAGGCAGCAATGTCGGATCGTCCGCAAAAAAAANATTTCAATTTCCTGGCAATGACAAAGGACTCTTGACAGATGCAAGGTTTTCCCCTTGGAGTTCTGGTACCCATCTTCTTCTCCTTCTTCTTCTTCTCCTCCAACCGGATTAGCGGTGGTTGCAATGATTGGATTTGGGGGGGTGGCGGGGGGGGGGGGAAGAGGCTAGAAGAAGGAAACGGTTAACCGGACTGCCGTTAAAAATAAAAATAAAAAACCAGAAGGCGCAGAAGATGGAAGAGATTAGCCCAAGACAAAGCAGAGTCCTTATCGGCCTCATCGCCACCCCGCCCTTCGGCAGGAGGGTGAAATTCGATGAGATGGAGGGATGGATGGATTTTATCCATCCCGCGTGAATAAAAGCCCCCCGTTTCCTTCCCGGCCACCTGCCCCCCCTAAAAAGCAGGGAGATGCTCACAGGAGGAAGATCTCGGGAAGCCTAACAGGGAATAAGCAAACCCCGCTTGCAGCTGGGGGAAAAATAACAAGCGTATTTTTCCCCTCCGGCTGGTTCAGCCTCTTTCCCCTGCTTCTTTGAGCGATGGTTCTGGTTTTCCCCTCCTTCCCAATTAGCAAGCCGTAGAGCCAGCAGCAGTGAAAGCTCGGTGGGGTCTCTTTGGCCCAGCTAGGCCAAACCGTCTGCAGCCGGGCAAGCAAGCACCTTGCAAGCAGATATTCCTGCGATCCAACCAGCCACGCCTTCCTTCTCCAACCTCCTCCCCCGGAGAAGAGGGTGCACAAAACCCTGCAGCCACACTTACGGCCCCCTCCCCCTTGTAGCTGGGAGGGGAGACCTCCCACACACACACAGAGTCCGTCGCAAAGGAGACCTTGGGAGCCTGAAGCAGGAACTGGTGGCTCCAGAGTTAACTGGCGTTTCTTTGTCAGTTTGTATGATCTTTAGTTCTTTATTTATCATTACGTTGATATTGCTGCCTATTCGCCCCTGCAGAAAATCTATCTATCTATCTATCTATCTATCTATCTATCTATCTATCTATCTATCTATCTATCTATCT